ACCTGGCTATGTCTACACAGCAAGCTTACCATGCTTCAGGGTGGCACTATCCAGACATCAGTGCAGCCATATGCATGTTTAAATTTAGGCAGGTGAATTAGCATAAGTGGCCTGCCAATTAGTTTACCCCTGTGCTAATTAATTTACCAAGAGGGCCAGAGTGACACAGCTGTGCTTATCCTACTTTAGGTAGCAGCTAGGCCAGAGCTGTGGCATGCTGGAGGATACTGCTCTGAGCATACTAAGTATCAATCACATCATTCTTACACTACCAAAGTATGGTATATGCACACCTGCCCTGATTTGGAGGAGCACTGCTGTGTACACAAAGCACTCTCTGGGTTTGACAAAACTAGGTCATTAAATCAGTCTTGGTGGTCCTTCTTGACAGTGTTACCACTGGAACTTTTTCTCAAACCTACAGTTGGACACTTGCTGGTCAGAGGGTGCTTTTGACATAAAACTATTAAAGGCACCTGGCAAATTAATGATTAGGGGTGGGATGCTACTGTACAAGATGGCCTCATTGTCAAGGGATATTAAAAATGCTTATATTCATATAATTAAACATGCTAATTAATGGTTGGGCCCCAGCTCAGGATTTGTCTAAGCAAAGTACGTGCATGTAACCTGAAGGGCTAAATGAGGCATTATCCACCTGCTGTACAGTGGAAAGAACTGGAGTTACCTGGTACACACACTGCCATCTGAAGTGTTCGTAAGGAATGGTAGCAAAATAGCAAATTAAGGGACTTTTTAATGATACCCCTTTAAAGACAGCTAATTTAGCAATTAAGGAGAAATGTAACAGAATAGCAAATCTCCAGATTTTAGTGGCAAGTCCAGTCAAACAATGTTAAAAAATTGTACAGAATTATATCCACTACCATCAAGTCTTAGAGTGTGTTAATGGCATGATATTATACAGGGTGCAACATTTGGTGCTTTAAAAATCATGACCACGCGAGGTCATGGTTGGCAGGGCTAACCGGACCTTATCAT